AAAAATGTTGCGAGTGTTACAGCAGGGAAATATCTGTTCGGAAGACGATTTGAGATCTAGAATTTTCGGAACATTTGTAAATTTCTTGCTTGCCTGCCTCTCCTAGGATTTTCGAACATCTAAAAAATGGCATAATTGCCCATTTTAATGGATTTTTACCCTAAAAAGGTCACCTAAAATTTTCGGGTGCCTTTTTTCTGGCTGAAATTTTCGAAAAGGTAAGTTTTGATCCCTATAATTTTCGGATCACTAGACTTTCAGCTAGGAAATCCGAACAGATGAAAAATTTTTAGGGGATAAAAATATGCCTATGTCTACCGTTTAAATACCCAAATACATTTAACACCGCTATGTTTAAGTGGTTTTGAACTATTTTCTCGTTGGGTGCCCCTTTTACAGGACCAAGGAACTAGCTAGCCTTACGATCATTTCTTCAGCGATTCGTTAAAATCAGAAAGATCCTTTAGGGAGCTGTGTCGACAATTTTTTGGTATTGCATTAAAACTCTAAGAGATCGAGACTGAAATAAGAACAAATTTGCAGAAGTCATGGTTCAGTCTTGCTGTCGATAACAAGGGTGTTAAAAAGGGCCAAATTTTAAATTTTAACTCTTGTGCTGTGGGAAAATTGCCTCCAAACCGATTCTGCTTTGTTTTCTCATTGAAAAAATCGCAAGGTTAGCTCATCCTTGACCAAACTGAACTTTTGTAGTACACCATGGCAGAGTTTTAGAGTTGGCTCCTTTTCGTTTTCATTCGTTATGGACACAATAAAATTTGAATTTACATCAGCAAACAGCTAAAGTTTAAGTCCCATTTAATTCTTTGTGTACTCAGCCAAGAAAAACAATAAGCAGTTATTAGATGAGGCTAAGTATGATCTGAAAACTGATGCTTGTAGAGGAATTTGTTTTCCCTAGGTGGATATTACCCTGTAAGATCTCTATAACTCTTCTGATCATACGAAAGCCGAATCCAATAATTGTATTGGTATTCATTCAAAGTAATTGACCACTCCAGAAATACCATAACATACCATAATGCTCTTTATTCGTCACCCCAAAATTTTGCATAAGCATTGTCGTCAGTTTCTCTTGGGAGTTAAAATGGCCCCAAGAGAAACTGAAAACAATGCTTATGCAAAATTTTGGGGTGACAAACAAAAAGCATTATGGTATGTTATGGTATTTTCTGGACTGGTCAATTAAGATTTTAAAAAAAAGCTAAAACATGCTTTCCTCGATTAATGTTAAGTCCCGTCTTCATTTGTCTCGGTTCCACGGCCAACTGGGGATATGAAGGGATGTTAAGTCTAGCAGATATGTTTCACGGGTTAAGATGAACTCATCAAATTGGCCAAGTCCCATGTATTTTCATAGTTCAGTCGGTAAAGCACTGCAGCGCCAACGAAGAGTCCATGGGTTCGAATCCCGTCGCGGTCCCGATATTGTTTGTTTGTTTGTTNATTAATGTTAAGTCCCGTCTTCATTTGTCTCGGTTCCACGGCCAACTGGGGATATGAAGGGATGTTAAGTCTAGCAGATATGTTTCACGGATTAAGATGAACTCATCAAATTGGCCAAGTCCCATGTATTTTCATAGTTCAGTCGGTAAAGCACTGCAGCGCCAACGAAGAGTCCATGGGTTCGAATCCCGTCGCGGTCCCGATATTGTTTGTTTGTTTGTTTTTGTTGTTTTGTTTTGTTTGTTTGTTTGTTTGTTTGTTTTTCGGGTTAATTTGCAATTGCTTAAGTTGCACTTACCACTGCGACGATCATATCTTCCTTTAAATTTGTTTTCCGCTGTTCACATGGTCTTCATTCTTGATATTCTTTAAGCTGAATTGTATTCTTGCTGTCCTTGCAATGTTTTTAGGCAGCAATTTGGCTATTCCTTCTTCGCAAAACGTTTGGTATTTTCGGCCATACCGCGTCCCCAGGGCTTCTCGGTCGCCGCCCTTTTTTCTGGCGTTTATCCTATAGGATTGACGTCAGTTTATCGGATATCGCAGACTTCTTCCAAATTTGGTCAACGCTTGCTGGTTATGAAAGACTGGGATTGAGCCAATCAGAGACGGAGAAAAATTTTCAATGAATGTTAATGACACTTGACCGGAACCGCTGTTGCTTTGTTCCATTATGAAATAATACTTAGAAAACAAAATCGTTCAATGGCACTCAATTTAAGGCATTTTTAAGTACTCTTTCGCACTGGCACATACTAGCGATTGAATCAGGCCGTACAAGGAGAAATACTACTCAACGAGATATTAACCACCTTATAAGGTCAAATTGATTAAATTAATTTTCAAGGGTTCTTATGTTAATAATGCCTTAATCTCAGAAATTGGACATGGAATTTAGAAACGGATAAACCAGTGTGATCAGAAATTTATTTTCATTTACAATGGCTTAGAAAGACAACCATCTCTGATTTTACTTTCGGAAAGGCGTGGCTGTGTATACATTCGGGATACATGTATCATGTAATATTTTTAACCTAATCTTATAGATCACTTCTATAAATATACGTTAATGAACACAATTCGTGACTAGCCATGACCTTATCTATGACCTTGTCCGAATCCTGCGTCACATATTAATTCACCAAGCTTAGCGTGACCGCCTGATAAATCGGCTGGGCGAATTTTCGCAATACTCTCCATGTCGCTATAGCTAGTTAGGATTTCAAACATTCGCGTTTAAATGAACTTATTTCGTGGTGCAATTTATCTCTGGAGCCTGGCGGTTTGAATTACCCTTTTGAATTGCGGTTGAACCAAGAAAACAATTTTGGAACCAAACCTTGCTTAAATTGGAAAGAGCTCACTAATTAGCTTCAACACTTGGGTTTCTCACTTCCGCAAGTGTCTGCTCTTGCGGTGACAGAAAGTACTTCATTCAGCAAGGTGAGTCGCAAATTGTCTTTTCCACCGATGGAGTCTGTACTTAAAACAATTACACATTTCTTCCCTCGCGTTTGAAGCACCTCATTTCTACAGAACTGCGTGATTTTTAATTTCTACGCTTTGAGATCTTAAACCTCTAATCACCAAACATTTTGAAAATGAATTCGATTTATATTTAGGTCGAAAAGAAACCAACAGACACAACGGGAAACTTCTGCTTAAAAGGTTTTAGCGGGGTAGTTAAATTTAGCTTTGCATCCTCTAGCTTTAGGTTTTAAATAACACATACCTATTTTTCATTCATTTCTAAATTAATACGTATTAAATTGATTTAGATTGATAAGTATTTAATTGAAAAACGTTTTATCTTTTTATTTCTAGACTTCGAAAAGAAAAAAGTTTCACTGAAAACTTTCGCTACTAGCTAGAATATGAATGGTAACAATGTAAAGTTCACATGCGAAACTTTGAATTTTATTCCAAGATAACTTCAGAGGGTTTAAAGAACCACTTCGTGTAAGCACGGTATTCAAAACATCTTGAGCCATGGACAGTTTCACAAACATCTTTCATTATCAATAGCTCTCACTGAAAAGCCGACTTGATTTTCGCATGCTGTTATCAGCAATCTTTATTGTGTGTCGGAATTGCCTTGAAGCTGTTCATGTTGAATGTCGGTGTGCATTATATCTTACTTATTCACTGCTACCTGCGTCAGAGGTCGTGATATGTCTTCTCGTGTCCCGGCTAACTGTTTTCATAACTTGTTATTTTTCCACTTGATCACCCGTGACTTTGGCCTCAATTATTTCCACGAAAAACAAAACAATATCCAGAGGTTATTCATTTTAAATAACGGAGACTTCGAAAGGAGCGATTTAATTAAGGAGAAATATTTTCGCGATGGGAAGTATTAAGAGAAACAGGCTGACTTCTCGACGATAAGTATTACTAACAACAACAATAATAATGATATAAAAGTAATAACATTTATCGATTTTTGGGTGGTAATCAAAATGGTTTAGTTTCGGCTGATACACCTGATATAGTTCTTGAGTCCGCGACACTTACGTCTTTAGTTACTGCTTGGAAGTTATTGGATAACACTGAGTATCATCTGGAGAATTATACAGATCGAGGAGGGTGTTAGGCCGAGGCGGATAACACGTTCCGAGAACTGCACAATGCCTCATCCAACTATGATACATTATTATCATTCATTAAAAATAATTCACACTCCAGAACACCCTTATCTTTATCGATGTTGACGTACGGTAAAACGACGACAACAGAAAACGTGCAACTTGTTTGACAACAGTGCTGCAAAACAAGTTGAATAGCGTGGTTGCCCGTTTTACCATGCCCCCTCGAAAACAAACCTTGAAAACTTTTTCGTTAGAAGACAGGTTCGATCGTGGGTGGTAAAACGCACAACATCGCCATTCAACTCGTTTTGCAACAATGTTGCAAAACAAGTTGTGCGGCTTTTATTTTATTTTATTTTTTCTTTTTGCCCGTTTTACTGTAACTTTAGGTTCCCGTCTTCACGTTTTGTTCCTCGGTAAATTCAGGTGATATAAAGGGATGTTAAGCTCCCAGCAGATATGCAAATTGCCGTTGTCATCGTTTCAGTTGTGTCTTTACTGTTCCCATTATGTTTTAAAGCAGAAGTTCGGTTTTTTCTTCTTCTTAAAAGTGTGAAATTTTTCGCCGTTTTCTTTAGCTCTGAGGTCACACAACTTTGTCCCCAGGGCTTCGCGGTTGCCGTGCCTTTTTGGCGATAGAGTGCACTTTTGACGTCATTTTATGGCATATCGCAAAGATCTTCCAAATTTGGTCAACGCTACCTGGTTATGAAACGGAGCATGTTCTAAATGAATATTAATCGATAGATTTACAGCAACTAACATGACCGGAGGTGTGACAATTAATCCACTTCCCAACCATTAGGCAATTATTTTTTCAAAGCTGGACATTCTGGTACATGCCTCTAGCTGCCCTTATTATCTTGCTCTCGCTCAGAGAAGTTTAAGCCTTGACAATCATACCTTATGTTCTCAAATCTTTAGGTCATTCTTAAATAAATTTAGAAACCATTTATTAGCCTTCATCATGAAAGAATGGCTCTTGTTTTATCAAGAATACTTTGAAAAGAGGTCTGACTCTAAGTATGGGAATCACAGAACTTCGCCATCACTACAAAAACCCTATATTACTGATTGTCTGGAAGAAAAAAAGCTTCGGTTGTATAAAGAATGGCGCGATTTGTACGTGCCTAGTTGCAATAAATTAAACTTGCTGCGGTTATAGTTTATGCCGTAAACGCCTAATAATGCATACCTCAAACTTCACGTTAATTAAAGCCAGGTCTCCCATTGTATTGAAGGGGGCGTTGTGCCTATTAAATTTAGGTTTATTTACGTGGCAAAAGTTTGCAAAAAAGGGGAGAATTATGTAAAGAGGTTTTTAATTTGTGAATTTACAAAAACTTATTTCTACACAGAATTGGAAGTGGGTATCTTCAAATATTTTAACATTTTAAAAGCTTATGAAAACTGATTTCCTTTGATCATAAAATTTTGTAAGTGCAACGAAAGAGATTTGTGACGATAAGCTGCTATCTGACATTAATCCTTATATTTAACAAAGACCTTTGGCGAATATATGACGCAGCATTGTGTCGATATCACGCTTATCATGAAATAATAAAATGTAAGAGTAGATGTTATTTGTGTAGCTTATCAGTTAAGTAAATCGATTCAAACGCTGTGATGTCAAGAAATCTCTTTTGCTTTCCCTCACTTGAACTTGAAAGCAATTTACAGGGCCGGTTCTATGCGAACTACCCAAATACGATTGATGAAAATCGTCGTATACTTGGTAACATGCCAAAAAAAATGTCTCCTTTGTAGTGTCCCACTTTCAGGGTCACAAATCTATTTGTCTATACTTGTTCTTTCACGCCGTGTTTGAATTGTGTTCGCCTGTTTTAAGTTCTGTCTTGTCTTACGAGTCGATACGAGCAAAAATGGCTGGGCGCGATCAAGGCGTGAATCAACATTGTAGTTGCTGGCAGTTTTAAGTTTCAGCGTGCTAAAAGTTTGTTCTAATGACCAAGGGAAAGGCTAAAATGAAACGAAAACCTAGCTAATTATTCGAAACGCACCAAGCCCAGTATCCGTTTTGTCTTTTATCAGGCAGCGTAAAGTGCGGCATACTTTATCTGATTTATGATTGCTCATGCTCAGTCAGCAATGGTTTGGAAGTTTTCATCGAGCCGGTCCACTAGCGTCTAGGTTCGAACGTAAACAAGGTGTATCATACTTTCAACAAGAGAATCGAAGGTAACTAATTCCGTTTTTCTTTAGCTTTGCTTTTCTTTACTTCGCTGACCAAATCGCTAGAAGTTCAAAAGTGAAATCCTGCTCAAAGTTGTTCAAGCGGTACCGCTTTGAAGGGCCAGTCCATGGTCAACGCGCCTTACATGAAAAGTCAGGGGCTATTTTTAAAGGGAACCACTCAAACCAGGACCGTTGTTAACGTCAAAACTTGAAAGTAAAAACGCAAATGATTTATACGAATTTCGGCCAAAGACCGCCACTAGCAAGAAACGCTGTGAACTATGGAATGTTTTTAGGCCAGGTTACCTGGCTCCTGCTCGAATGAACAGCGAAAGTTTTGGTATGTGCCGTGTTTCTAAAATCTCTTTTTTTAGCAGTCGTTCTTCCTGTACTACTTCGGCATAGAAATGATTAAAATAGTTGTGAATAGAATCTTGAGCAAACAGGGAAGTAGAATTATTGAACCGCCAATTTTTTCGTAATTTGTTTTATGGTTTGAAGAATCTTGTCAAGGCAAGTTTAACCTTGTCAAGTGACCCAGAATCCTTATTGACAAAGATTCTTAAACTTTCAAAACTTAATTATTTTCGATTTCGCGGCAAACCCAACTACTCCAAAAAAGTAGAGACTAACAACATTGTTTTACTGTTCGCGACATCTACTTCATACATTGTCTCAAAATACACCGTGCCGTGGAAATCGAGTAAACGAAGCAAAAACTGCAATTTTACCGCACATTGCTCAACACCGCAAGAATTTCTACCCGACACCAATTTTTGTGACAGTTTCATGCACGCATGGACTTTGCAGAGCACGAAACACATTGATCACCACGTAGTATACTTTTATGTAGTTATAATTATTCCCTGTTGTTGTTCTCACAATTTAGGAGTTCATTCGCAGACCCAAGAGTTAAAATCATCTGTATTGACACGCCGGGTAGTAAAGAGACCGAAAAAGTGTTTCCATCATAGCTGCCATTCTAATTAGGTTTTTGACAAAGCATCTTGCAGAGCATAACATATAATGCATACCAGCTAACATTCAAGCTTAAACGACCAAAAACTATGAACGGGTTAAAAGATTTTTTTCAATCTGATAGGATTTTCCTAAAACACCAACTTATAGCGGCGTCACAGACATGTATTTTCGTCTGTCTAAACTACGTTGTCATACTCGCGGAACAAAACTGTGGAATCTACTCAATATTCAGTATTGATTTGAAGAAATGTTTTGGTTTCAATTTTACTGAATTAATGTAGACATTATGTGTCGTGTTCACAAGTTGAAAGGTTTTGCACAATCTAACGAAAAAGCTTCTATGTGCAGTGGCTTTGAAATGGGGCGGCTTTTGTAGTTCTTTATAACAAGAGTTTTAGGATTACTGGTTCTTGGTGAGTATATAAATTGACTGATAGCTTTCAGTGTCTAAATTTAAAGCCTCAAAAATTTACATACTCAGCCTTGAGTGGAATCTCATTTAATAGAGTTTTTTTGACCGGAATTAGTTTCAGTTTGCAGGACATACACTGGTTGCTAATTGTTGTGGCTATCGGTTGTGTCCTTTCAGCGTTGTCTCAGTGACCTCAGCGACATTTTAGTTTCGAAACCTCATTTGTTTAAATACCCCGTTCAATTCTCAGAAAACTAAAATAAAAGCACGAAAAGCTGAGCTTTAATTTGGGAGCAATACAATCCAACAATTTAAGTGATGTCTAGTGATTTCAAGTAGACGGTTAAACTATGTGGATTCATGTAGACGAAGAGTGGAATCCTTGTCTTAAACTTGTTAAATGCGGCCGATATGAATCATGTTCTTAAATCGCTCTTGTGGATGTTCATTTAAATGATCTGTCTCTTTAAAGGTTCATTCATCCGTAGATAAAGTTACGATCCTTGGACGAAAGTTTAAAGATTGGCCTTGTTCTCAAGTTTACTTTCGCGCTGTTAGCATCGCAATAGCAGATAACAAGATATGTATCACGATATCACAATATTATTGATTTGATACAGCATCATATATTGACCAAACTACTTCAGTATTAGAACCCTTTAAGCCCCAAGAGTGACTAAAATCAATTTTCTCCTGGTGATATCCATATTAGGTTATGAGAATAAATAAAATGATATACTCAGGGGAAATATTTTGATCTTCAAACAAATTCTCTCAACGAATTCTCTTAGGTAATGTATGGAGATCAGTCTTGAGTATTTGTATGTGGGTATTGCGGCTTATAGGGGAAATCGAATTTAAATTTTGCGGACATGGCAATTAGCATCTCTTATTTAAAGCTAAAGGACGGATCTCAGCCCTGGAGGGTTTTCCCCTAAATGTAAACAGGAAGTATCTTCAGAAGTTCAATGGCTGAGTTGTGACAATGACTTTATAAATAGGCTGATCACTAATTCGTGCGCATGCATTCCTATGTTAGATTATATCAACTCCTTAACGTGAACTCGGGCTTATCTGCTAGTTTTCAAGGTACGGAGTGGTTGTAGTTTCGAACTAGATGTTCTAATTGGATCCTTTACGTTGTGAATGTGTTACATAAACGTGGAAACATTCTCGTTTAAAAGAGCGTTACCTTCAAAATTCTTGAACTAAAAGAAAGACGACTTGATCTGCTAGTAAGTAATTGGTAAATGTGTTTGTTATTGAATTGTTTTTTTCTTCTTTAATTTGTTTATACCAGCTTCAATTTTCTCGCAGAACGTTCTGAGGAAAAATCAGTAATAACTATGCGTCCCTAAGGGGGTTACTTTTTTTCTTTCTAAACTAAAACGCGAATCACCACTCTGAAAGGTTAACTCATACCTCGTTGGATTTAAGGCATTCCTGAAACGCAATTATTCACTGCTCAATCCTTGATTCTCGACGTTTCTTCAGTTCATCCTTTTGTTGACACAAAAAATGCTAAATGCGGTAAAAACATTACAATTATTAAAAGAAAATAATAGTTTGTTATAAACATTACTCAGCAGAAACGAAACTTTTCCGTATTTTATGTATATTCGTGACACATTAATTTTATTCCACCGTCGGAACACTCTGTTTGTTTCATCGCTTTGCTGATTTTGTTTTCAAAGCAGAAAGTTTTTAGTAAGAACGTTTCGATACTTCAATCAATTTGTGACGCTAAAGTTACTAATTAATTCAGTTTCCAGCCTCTTTATATGTAGTTTTTAAACAACTTCTTATTAATAATTGCAGTGCTACAGACCGGAGGGTATGTGTTGATGAATTTTTAATCACCGGCCAGCACTCAAACGTACATCACTGAGACAGCTATCTAGTGCTCCAAAAATCGATCATTACCTGCGTCTAATACGAAAGATTCTGTAGTGATGAAAACTTTAATTGTGATGAATAATTCACCCGGTTGAGTTTTGGATGTTTAGTGAACAGGAGAACATTCCACGATTATCAGGAGGCTAACAATTAATATCTGAAACTATCGACATGGAAGTCAAAACGTGGTTACTGAAACACCGGTTTCTTTCAGCTGCCGTACGTAACCTTAATGCAAAAGTATCCTACAGCAGCCACTAAACGTTGACAAAAAGTGTAGCGCTTTTGTCTTTAGAGTAACCGATGGCAAAAGCTGCCTAGAACCTTACCCCAATACTTCAACTACGTATACAGTTCAAAGGGTGTTCTTGTGGAAAGCTATTACGACGAGAAACAGACCATAGGTAACTTTATATGGCTTTGATTAGCGAGACGAGTATTGCGTAGTAGGAGTTGAAAAAAGCTTTCTTCTTCGTATTGTTATTTACTTGAGGAGCTATGTTAAGTTTCTTAACATAGAACGCTGGTAAAATAACAGTTGTTTTGCCGAATAAACGCGATGATTCACAAGGATCGATTAGTCGGAAATTTCGGCCAGTTGGTACTAACTTAAATTAAAACAACTTATCGATAAATTCTTGTTTTAAAGTGATAACTAAATTTCATCGAGATAAAATTCAGAAGGAAACCGAAATTATCCAAGCAGCATTCTGCGTTTGGTACCAGAGTATTAAAGCTTGAGTCAGTTTTGTGACGGGAGGAGAGAAGATAAAGTGTTTTGTAAAGCCCATAAGCCTTACGTTGAACAATGCAAGGAGGATATGGATGGCGCTGTTGTTACACGAAGAGCAAACGCCTTCCAGCATTGTGGTCTGAATTGAATTCCATTTTGCTTGAATTTGATGTAAGTTCTCTTCTCTACTGTTTTCTTCAAGGTACTCTGGTTTTGCCCCCCTCCTCCAAAAACTGAAATTCCATTTCGATGTGGGTTGTGGTATATAAAGAGCTTTTTTGTGGATATATGCTATCAGTAAAACAACTCTTTATTTATTTATGCATTTATTCATTTCATTCATTCATTCGTTCGTTCAGTCTTTCGTTCGTTCGTTCGTTCGTTAGTTCGTTCGTTCGTTCATTTATTCACCCATTACGTTAACATTTTCTGGGATGAGCTTATCACCATTCTTAAGTTTCTACCAACTTTGATTTTAAAGATATTTTATTTGGCCGTTTTTGCCCGGATAATGATGACAATATTCTTGTTAATTATATTATTCTTGAGAGTAAATATCTGATTTTTCGTTCAAAGTTAAGTAAATCATCTTTCTCGACTATAGCCTTTTATGAGCAAAATGCCAAAAAAAAAAAACAACGAACGTTTCATTGCGAATAAACATAACAAACTCCACTTTCACAATAAAAAGTGGGAACCTGTCCTGCCGTTGCATTGATGGAACTTTAGCTATCAGCACGCTTCACAAAAACTTCCACCAATGTAGCTTTTTCTTATTTGTTTCTTCAGGTGGCGTTTGCCTAGTGTCTAGGGTTTAGTATTTAGTGTTAGTGTATAGCGGTGTAGGTGTGTTGTGCGATGTGTTTTTGCTTAGTGTAGTAATGATGTAGTGATGGTAATAGCATTAATGCTTCGTTCCCGCGGCTTTCCGTTATTCATTATTTAAATGCCTTTTACCTACCATAATTTTTTTAAATCTCGATTGGCATCTTTCTGGCCCTGGTCTATTCAACTTCTAATATCGAGTTGACAATGAGGTACGCTAGAACGTTCTTAAAGTTTATTTAAACGTTTAATACAAGTGAAGGTATACCCTCCCCCCCCCACCCCCCACCCACCTTGAGTCCTAAATTCTTACACATGCTGAGAGTTCGCATACAGTTAAACGTGGTACCACCAACACTGGCACTACCACTACCACTACCACAACCACCACCACTACCACTACCGCTGCCTTTACCACTGCTCTGCCTCCACCACAGCTATCACCACTACCATTACCTTTACTACTCTTACTATCGCCACCACCACTACCACTACCACCAACACTGTTACTGTCACTGCCACCACCACTACCAATTACCACTGCTACTCTAACTAATATCACCACCACTACTATCAATGCCATTATCATTGTCAATGCCACGACCAATGCGACTGCCACTACCACTACCACCGTCCCTGTCACGACTGCTCCCACTATCACTATCACCACCACTGTCACTGTAACGACCGCTCTCTGTATCACCAACGCTACCACTGTCCCTGCCGCCACGACCACAGCCAATCTCGTATCTATCAGTCTCGGACGGATAATTCAATTACATGCAAATTCGGCGTTTAGACGAATTGCAGGTTTGTCATCCGTTATCGCGTCTTAAGTTGCCTGTAAGAAGGATGGGATACCCTGAAATGTCTTGCCGGGTCTAGGCGTGCAGCACATTCTATCTCCTCTTCAAATTTAGTCCTTCATGGTTTATCCGTCTGTTGGATAATTAAGCTAGACAATAGGCCATATCCACTGTGAATCAGCAAATATTGTCACTTAACTCACTTTTTTCTTTTATTGTAGAAAAGTTCATTTGGTGGTTACAATGACAACTTTGTCCTCATTTCCTCATAATTATGAATTGCCAGTTTGGCCTGCTCCTTCAAGCGACAACTGTGAGGACTTATTTCCACTTGAACCGTTCGACTTTGGCTTAAACGACTTTGATATCCGCCGTATATTGGATCCCTCGGGCTTAATTTCTGTAGAGAACTTTCCATTGTTCAGACCAGAAACTCCTGAGCCTAGTCTACTGCAAAAGATTTCCACGCCCGAGGATGTTTCTTTGAACAGTATGCAAACCCTTGGGCAATTAGAGAAAACATTTACCGCGGAGACCATGATCCTCAACAGATTGCCAACTCCCGAGCCAGATCCAGTGAGCGTAAACTTCTCATACCAGCCGGGCGCACTGCAAACAACAATCACCACCGAGTCCACTCCTTTGTACGATGCACCCAATTCAAACTCCAGTTATTTGTACAACCAGCCAACTTTAATGCCTAGTCCACTGCACAGGGCATCTACCCCCGAGACCAGCCCACTGGACAGCATACCCACTCCAGAGCCAAGTCCGTTGCCAAACAAGCCCATACCTGAGGTCTTGTGCAACACGCCTGCTCCTTTGTGTAACGCAGTGTATAGTTCCCCAACCCCAGAGTCCAGCCCAGTCGAAAGGATTCCCCCACCTCCTCCTCCAGGAACCAGTCCTTTGCAGATGTTTGAAATAAAACCAGAGGCGTGTAAAGATACAGCCAATTCTCCCTCCAAATTCCGACAAGTAGTTTTGAATCCGGAGAAAAAGGAAGTGTCGATGGATTGTGAGGGCAATGAAACTTCTTTTCTTAGATCTGTTAAAAAGGAAGAAAAACAACAGGATTTCCCAGGTAAGTGACAACCACTTCGAATTTTCTTTCGCTCGTATTTTTGTTCACAAAAACTGTTTTCGTCTACCATGGTATGTTCTTAAACTGTATTCGAATGGTCTAGTTTCCTGAAGAAGCCACAGACTAACAGACGTAACTTAAGAATTGCTTTGCTCCTTTTCCACGCGGAAGTGATTTATACTGGACAGCCTTCATCTTGAGTCACTATCGGTCTTACCCTTTTCAAAGACGAACGAGTTTATGTGTTCGTGAGCCTTCTCTCAAGACAGAAGAAGAAAAATGGTGTCGCTTAAGTAGTTGTAGACTAGGTCACCTAAACCCTTTAATTCCAAGCACTATCGATAAAAAAGAATCTGATTTCTTATCTTCATCATTGTTTTCAGATCGCGAGACTTTGGCAAACAATGAAATAAAGGCTGAGAAAACGGAAGAGTTTTCAAACGATGCGGAAGAATCATCTAACAGTGGTAATTACTATCGAACCTCTTATGACGGATTCCTTTACTGATTTAATTCTGCCATGGTATCAAGATAGAATATTCGTGGTCCTCATCCAAATCAGAGGTACAAGGGGAATCTTACCTCTGTAGCAAGGTTTATAAGGCAAAAATCCACATGAAAACGCCAAAAATTGAGAAACTTTTGGAAGTTGAACTGTAAAATAGGAAATATAGCAACTTAAGAATCCTACTCTCACCTTACTGATCCTGTTATAAGGGTTAAGTATGTATGTATTTGAAATGTTTACGTCTAGCTTGTCTGGCATCTAGACAATTATCTTAACGCCGTCCGGAAAAAGAGGAGGTGGAAGCTAATATTTTTTCTTTTGTTTTTAACTCAGATCGCCCAGTCCGTCAATGTCAATCTCGCTACTCTTTTCGCGCTAAAAGAGGAGGGTCGATGCTTTCGCAGAGTCGACCAACAGGTATTTCAAACAGTTTAAAAATAGCATTTTACCTAAACGCCTTATACGTGTATCGCGTGTTGATGTTAACCATACTTAATTTTTTACAGCAATAACAATGTCACAGTTGTAAAAGAAATAAGACTGCATACAGCCGCATTGCAGAACATTACTACCCAGTACATTGTTAGATAGCTTACATCTTTACATTACAT